TGTGTTCATAGTTCCTGGAGATTAAGTCTTCAAAGTCTTTGCCTAATACATTCTAGTTAAAGCAAGACACATCTGAAACACCTTGACCTTGATCAGTGTGAATCAATGATAGGACGTGGCATCATGACACTTAGACCATTTCTTATTTTAGGACACTTGCATTTAAATTTATATCCATGATAGCTTAATCTTGTGTTTCCATGTGTAAAGCTGAATGGCATTATCACAGGAGACACAGGCTCTTGGATCCCAGCACCTCTCCTCGAAGTCTTCATCTTCCCCCAACCCAAAAGAATAATATCTGCAATGTAAATTGTTAAAATTCAACTTTAGTGGGGTGTTAGGAACTAAGTTTATTTGAATGTGGGAAATGTGAAGCTTTATTATACTTTTCTCTTTGAGTGTATCTGTTGGGTGAATATTCTTTGTGACCCAGTTTTAAAAGAACTCAGAGTGAAGGTGTACCATGGTAATTTGGCAGTTTTCCCTGGTGTGTATTCCCTCTACACCACCCAATTTAGCTTCTGCTGGAAACGACTGCTTTTCACTTGTGCTGTTTCTTCCAAGTGCAGGAAAAGCTCATTTTTCATCTCTTGCCACAGGGATCAGGCAAGGCCAGCAGAAATAGGCACAGCCATCTGTATGGGCCAGACAGTGACTCAGTATGCAAATCACAGTGATAAGGGAAGGTGGGCCATTGCCAGAGGAGGGAAGGGACCTCACAGGATTGGGGAAGGAAAGGGCTGAGCTTCCTGCCCTGATGTGGGATGGGATTCAAGCCATACAAGTTGGTTTTAGACAGGAATGTAAAAAAGAAATGGTGCTAGTATCAGAAGCAGAAAACTGCAGAAAGACCAAAGGTTGTTTTCAGGGGCATAGAGGACTTACTGAGTATCTGGTATTTCTTTCTTCCTTACCATGTCTCTGTCAATGGTATCTTCTTCTTCGTTAAAGGGACTCAGACCAGTGTTCCCCAAACCCAAGCAGTGCTACAAGAAGTCATCCTTGGAAGTCCATTTGGAAGCACTTGTTATTAAAATACTAGAATGAGGCTGCCTGCTGTACAAAATAGATTGGAAGTGTTTATATACATACACATTATAGGAGAGTCTCTCTCCCCACATCCCTTACCAAGACGTGCCTATTTACTACCCTTTTGGTAGGATGGGGCCCAAAACTCTGATGTGAATTCAACATGCAAATGAACATCAAGTTATCTTGGAAGTATTCCCATAACCTTAGCTAGAGGAGAATTCAATTAAAGTTTGTGCAGCACTAGGTAGCAGGGTGGAGAGGAAATCGCATTGTTATTGATGCCTGTAATAACATTACAAACCACACTAGCGGCTGCCTGGGTTAGTGCTGAATGCCAAGTACCTTCATACACAGTCTGCTCTTCATCATCTAAGAGTATCTATTTCAAGGCTCAAATTCATAGTGCATGGAGGTGCCATTGTTTAAAAGATTATTTTCTTTTGAGAATTACAAAGGTCTGCATGAGTGTGAACTCACTGAGTGGAGGGTTGTTGGCAGAGAGCATGTGAGCTCTTTCCTATTGGTGGTGAGATTTTGATTTGCCTTGATAATGAGCCATTAGTCTTGGATTGATGCCATTCCATTGAGCTTACTCCAATTTAATTCTATAGAACATTCGTAGACCAGCAGAGGTGGAGACATAATGGAACCCCATAGTCAGAACCTTAATGTAGCCCAGGCTGGCTCACAGCTCTTCTTGGAAGTAGTGATTCCTAGAGAAACCTGTGCTCTTCCGCGTTACAAATTTCACAGGCTTAAGTCCTTTTTAAAATTAAGTTTATTGATATAATTTAGATATGCACAATGATCGATCACATTCATCATAGGGAATTTGTACCTGTTCATGTTATAATTTAGTTTCTTTTTTTTCCCATTCCCCTCCCTCTCTTCAACCCCTCTTCCCCACCTTATTTACAAAGCTTTGTTTTTATTTTGCCTTTTCCTCCATTTTTTCTTTTCCCTTCCGTCCCTCCAGTTCTTCTTTCCTTTTGAACAATTACTTTCTATTTCACAATATCTACTATACATTGTGGTTCTTATTTATACTTTCACTTTTTCATACCAGAGACACAATGCAATATTTATACATACATATCCAATTTATTTCACTTATGTGTATGGTCTCAAGCTGCATCCATTTAGCTATAAATGACTCAAGTTTATCCTTCTTTATGGTTGAGTAATACCCCATTTTATAAAAAAAAACACATCTTTTTTATCTATTCATCAGTTGATGGGCATTTGGGTTGTTTCCAAGATTTAGCTCTTACAAACTGCTGCTATAAACAGTGTGCATGCATGTATTGCTGTGGTGTAATGCTTTTAATTCTTTTGGGAAGACACCAAGGTAGGGAATAGCTGGATAAAACCTCTAGTCTTAGTTTTTTGAGGAACTGATTTCCACAGTGGTTGCACCAGTCTACACTCCCATGAACAGTGGAGAAGGGCTTTTTTTCCTCCACAGCCCCTCCAGCATTTATCAATTGATTTCTTGATGATTTTCACTCTTTCTGGGATGAGATGGAATCTCAGTGTTGTTTTAATTTGCATCTCTTGAATGATTAGTGATGTTGAACATTTTTTCATGTATTTATTTGCCATTTGTATTTCTTCATCTGAGAAGTGTGTGTTCATCTCAGATGCTTATTTTTGGATTGGGTCTTTGAATTTGGAGGAGCCGATTTTCTTTTTTTTTCAATTTTCTACATGTTCTAGATATTAGTTCTTTGTCTGAGGAAAAACTGGCTAAGATTTTTTCCCACACTCACAGGCTTAATTCATACAGATAAATACATCATTGTTTTTGCTTTGTCATGTCCGTAGAACTTTTTATGATGCTGAGTGGCAACTCAGTTCAAAATTGGGGCCAGAATTTTTGCTTTATCTCCCTTGACATTTTTATTTTCTGGAACACCGGCACAGCAAAAAGTATCTTTTGGAAACCCCTAACAGTGCAGTTCAAATTTTTGTTTTTATCTCAGTCTAAGACAACTCAGACTATCATTAGAACTGTACACATGCTAAGATTCCCATTTAAGTTAGTTACTAGACTAATTCTTGTGCAAGATGTTTGACTTTTGTTAAATAATTAATATTGGTAGGCCATTCTTAATGCTGATGGCATCGGGTATAAATAACAACAGCTGTAACTATTGCCTTAGCAGTCCAGCCATCCTGAGTTTGCCTACCTATTTATCCTTTAACTCAAGCTCAGCATGAGGTGAGTTGCCTAGTCTAGATATCAGTTTCCAGAGCTGTAAACTAAGGATAATGGTATCTACCTGTAGGGCTGATGTAAGCTATATAGAGCCTGATATACATGAAGCTCTTGGCACAGTGCCTGACTGATAGTGCATTCAATGTAGTAAGAAGCTTTCAACATTTTGATTAACAGGTAAAAAACAAAAAGCTAAGCCTTCATTTATAAGTCACTCAATGCCATGTCTTTCACAAGATTCTTATTTAAGGGTGTTCTGGTTTGAATCTAAAATGTCCCCCACCTCATAATCTGGTTTCTCTTTAGATTGTATAAATCTTTTGCCTTTTACTAAAATGTCCCGCCATTTACTAAATGTTCGCAATTTACTAAATTGGGTTGTATGAGCTCTAACTTCACCAAGTGAATGAATCAGCTGATGAATTAGTAATCTGATGGCACTATTTGGAGGTGACTGAAACAGGAGGCAGGCTGAGCTGAAGGGAACAGACGGAACAATATCAGGGACAATATTTTGTCTTTCCTCTCTGGCTCTTTAAATTTATTTATGCCAAGTATTTTGTCACAGTGACTGAAAGCTGATGAATACAGAGAGTATCCACTGAATTTTTTAAAAGTTCATCTCTTGCTTCCTTTGGAGCAGGCAGGAAAAACAGAATGATTAGTACAATTATACTAATCTAGTCCTGTATAATAATTAGATGTATCAAAATGGTAAATTGAATGAATTTGCCTGTATAAATTAGAGTTCATTATGTCGTGTAAGGTCCTGATGTGAGGCTTATAGAAACCCATGGATCCAGATGATTCTGGGATTCAGCCATAAATTGAACAAAGATCTCAGGCAAGACTGCTAGGAGTCCAGGTAAAGCCACATTGCCTGAGGGGGTAGAATTTTCTGGGCAGAGCACGTCCTTGGCCCTGCCTTCTTCCCAGGAGAGGCCCACTTAGCTAAATACACATTCAAAGATTCTGAAATACAGAGCACTTTCATGACCCAATTACTGTTAATAGGCCTTGAGTGGGGAGGCACAAAATTTCCTGGCAGGTTTTGGGCGTAAACAATGAAACACCTATAAAACCCTATGAGGGCATAAAGATGTGTTGCTAGACTTCTCCTGTAGGGAGGAGCTGACCTCCACCCACTTTGATGCATTGTGTTGCAGCTGTGTCCTGACACACGAAGCTAGCACTGTCTAAAAAGTCTCCCTCTGTAGAATTTCTTGTTGTTATAAAGGGAGTATGCATCAGATATGGTTCTAGTACTTTAAGTACTCAGCCCTTTCATAAAATGTCTTTCCCATTGAATGATCTTACAGAGAAAGAAATTTCTCAATCAGTAGCTCAATGTAAATATGTCCTTGATCAGAAAGTATGGGACTTCCTGGGACTAAGGAGTTGCCTCAAGGTTCACCAAAAAATAGTCTTAACTGTGAGGTGCAAAATCTTGTTCAGGAAAATAGAGTGGAAGAAAACTGGAAACTATTGGCTCAGAAATTTTCTTTAGATAAAAATTCCAGCTCTGATAAGAAGCAATCTGCTTGTAATTCTGCCTGATGAATGTGCCAAGCACATGCAGCTGCTTGTTATGCAGTGGTGGGCAAACACTCACCACAGAAGCATCGAGCTGCCCCCCACAAACCAACACTCAGTTCTATTTTTCCTTCTTTCCTCTCCTCATCTCCCTTATCTCCTTCTCACTATATCCTAGCCCCTTTCAAAGGAATTAATTCACGCAACACTCCAGTGAAGAGAAAAAGGCTTTACTTGGCAGCTTTTGGTTTGCAAGATCGCTGGTGAACAATCAGTCTGTCTGGCAGGAAGGTCCGCCCACAAACACTGCAGGGAACCAACTGGTTCTGGGCACTTGTCCAAGCAGCTTCATTTAAGGAATTGAGATCATAGAACCCTTTGGCTGGAAAGTTAGCGAAAAAGAAAAAAAGGAACCAAAAAAAAAGCAGAAGAAGAAGAGGAAAACTGGATTAGTTTCTTTTTGAAAAACCATCTTCTACAGTTTATGGAAAATATTTTCAGGAAATACCTACGAGAGGCATTTTAAATAATCATATGCTTTTTACAAAATAAATTAAATGATGCTGCTAACAAGTCAAATTAGTTGTCAACCAAAAGTGTTTTACTCTTTGGATCTTAAAAAGGGGAAGACAGTGTATTATGGGTTGTGATCTGCATTCTTTACTAATTATTAACATCTTTGCTTATACATTATTATCTTGCAACTAGAACTCTTGGCTTTCTTTCAGTTGACTCTAAATATAAGCTTACATGGTTAGAGAACACTTATATGTATTTTCCTCTTCCATCATTCTTCAGTGGAATGTGTTCAGAGGCCAGAATTGACAGTTGAGAGTGAGTTTAAGATGAATTATTTCCTAAAAATTTATCATCTCTTTAAGACCATAAGCTTGGAGATTCTTTAAGTAATAATAGTGAAGAAGGAAAACAAAATAGTTCTGATGGAAAGAAGTACCCTTAAGAAAACAAAACAGACAGCTGAGAAATGCATGATCTTCACTGGCAGAGCACAAGGGAAAAAGGCACATGACTCCATTTTAGAGAAACAGTGTAGGATGTAGTTTAATAAGCCTTATTTAAACACAATAACTTTAGTACAGTAAGTTGATTATGTCTTAGACTCACCCAGTATAGGCCCCCAAAATGTAGCCAGGCACTCAGAAATGTAATACTTAGATTTATCATTGGAATAACATGTATTACACATCATTAAAATTTAGTCAAATCTCATATATCTTCTATATAATGGTTCATACAACGATTACAAACCTTGGATTCTTGACATACTGGCTCTTAATTTTCCTTTTTTACCCCATGAGAATTTAAGCGCCCAAAAGACCTAGTATTTCTCCTTTAGATAAAGCAAATTACACTTTCTCACAGGTTATGATCATGTGTTTAAAATGCCCTGAAAACTCTGTTCAGAAGAGAATAACCCTGACTTTCTCATTACTCATATGAGTTTTAATACAAACAAAAATACTAGAGCAGTCACTAACTCACTGGAGGGCGATTCATTGCATTGCTATGTGTTTTTGCACAGGGCTTTGATTTTGGATCTGAGCAACGGCTTCTGAATGCTGTGACTCAGATCTACAGAAGGGGAATGGTAATGTAAGTACCACTGACCTGTAGATAAAAGGCCCCTGCAGAGGTAAAAAGCAGCATGGGACCCAGAGGGGATTTCCCTGCAGTTATAGGATCTCCTCTTTTCTACCTATAATTACCAACAAGATAATGAACCCACCATGCCTTTCAGCTCAGTCAGTCCTCTCACTTACTTGGTGATAACAGAGGCCAAAGCCAAGAGCATGGTAATGACTGAAGCAGAAAGAAACATTATTGACGAGAGGGAATTGCTGGGAAGGGAATTTCAAGGAAGTAAACAATCCCTTTGTAGGCAAATGATGGGTTTTTTTAGCTTAAATTCTTTTCCCACTTGTATACAAGGCCTGAGAATAGTTGGGTTCTAAAGGGATCTAGAACTTAATGGACAGTGTAGTTTTCCTTTGGTTGGTTGTTATAAATGCTCCTTGGCTCACATCTTTAACAAAAGTGCTTTGGACTAGTTGATGCTAACTGACTCCCAGTGGTAGAAATATGACAAGTAAACCTGAGCCTGCCTGGCAAAAATGTTCTGCTTTTGCACTCCACGTGAGAGCAAGGCTCTGTGATAAAGTCCAATGTGGCAGTGTCACTCCAGTGTCACTTGGTCCACACCGTGCCTTACAAGAGTTTAACTGTAAACGTTCTTTGAATCTTGGGGCTGGGGTGTGTGCCTCAGGGGTAGAGCACACACCTAGCACATGTGCAGCACTGGGTTCAGTCCACAGCACCATCACAAAGGAAAAAGTTAAATCTGGGCATTTCAAATAGAAGTCTAGATTTCCAGTTTCTTTTGTATTATTGAAAGATATGGCCACACTGGGGTAAATCTAATAACATCAGCTGATGTTTCCTTTAGAGGGAACTGGTCCTCTGCAGCTCACCTTGGTCCCCAGCTTCCCCCTTTTGCACATATGGACCAATTTACTTGATTTTACAACCTGACTAATGAACTCAGCAAGCATTTGAGTTTGGTGCCCCTGCTGTATGAATATCAAGATGTATTCTTACTTGAAACAACACAATGGATGTTCTCAAAGCCTTTATAAGCTTTGTTTTTTAAGAATTATGCCTGGTAATACATAAAAGTAATTTGGGCAAAATACAGTAAATTCCAGTGAGTCCTTCCTGTACACAGTGTTGCCAGGACCTAGTGTGTCTTTATGTCTCAGTGTCTGAAAGCAACGTTCTGCATGGGCATTCCAGAATTGTTTAGCTAGAGCCAATGCAGTGGATGCTGATGATTTTAGTTGTTTGAACAAGTAAAGTAATACCGCTATCAAAGTTTATACAATTTAGAAAGAAAAGTTTCCCCTAGTGTACTCAAATCTTTTCTTTAGGAACTTACCAGTAATGGTCCTGACTTCTGGTTTTTTAGGTTCTGGTCTCCTTAGTTCTTTAGGCAACAAGTTGTTTTCATTATGCCACTTTTTTAGGCATTGCGGCTCATGGATGCTAATGGACTTTGTTCCATATTCACGACCACAGATGTAACAAACAACTGTCGGTGGACGTCTTATCATTGTTGACTGCCAATAACAAAATATCCGTTAAGTAAGGCTTTGATTTGGATATTGTATTTTTAAATTATGGGACATTCCAGCTTGCTAGAAAATCAATATGATGCTAATAAACTTCAACCTTTCTGCTGAATTTATCCTTCTTGGCAATGAAGAGATCAAACTATTTTATTTGAGTAGATGGGAACTTAGAAGGAAATGAAGAAGCAGCCAGAATTCTTCATATTGATACTATATAAAATGTATTTTCTCATTTAGTAAATATTGTTTTCTATTTTGTATCTGAGTTACAATACTGTTATAATACAAAGATAAGCCACATAGGAATTCTCAAAAGTATAGGATCTAGTATATTATATGTCTGAAAAATAAAACTGCCATGGGAGAGTTTAAAATAGTTTTTAGGCCTGCCCATATCCTCTCATGTCAAACAGCTGTGTTTTTCTGCCCTCTTGATCTGGAGCAGGCACCACTACTGGGAGGACAGAAAATGCATCATGGGTAAGGATAAACCGGTGAATAAATAAATGCCCAGCTTTTCCACCAAGGCTGATTCCATGCAATCTCCCAGAAGCTCCCAGTGAGATGGTACCATAGTTGTTTATTATACTATATTGACACCCTTCCTTTCCATTTCCCTCCCTCTCATTCTTTTACTGGAACTTCCTTGACCATTTCTCAAATAAACTACTTGAACCCGAATCCTTCTCTTAGTTTTCCTGCTTCTGGGGGAACCTAATCTAAGGTGAACTAAGGATAAAGTGCTATAAAGAATTTCTTCCTCCTGTCTTGGAGATAGAAAGGTACAAGATTCTTATCGAATCTTAATTTGTAAGCCCAATGGAGACTCAAAGTTGTGCAAGAAATTGGTGAACTAAAGACTCACCAAAGTTTGAGGATGGATCTGCAGAACCAAGAAAAAACCCTCCACACTACAAGTTTTACGTGAGTATCAGATAGCACTTATATGTCATGAGTATCAGAGAGCAGTCCCAAGTATAGGCATGGATGTGTGTGCTCTCCACCCCCGCCAGGCCACACATCTAGTAACAAAAGGTAGCAAATCTAATATTAGGAGAGGCAGAGACATTGAGAGAAAGCTCCACCAATTCAAGAGCACAAACCTGTGTAAAGCTGAGAGTACAGTTGGAGAATTAGGCCTTGTGCTGAGTACCAGACAAGAGCAGAAATAACATATAGAAGTGAACAATGAAATATATGTATGCATTAAGCATGCTTCAAGGAAGGATAGGAAACGAGAAACAAAGAGTCAAAAAAGGGAGGGGTGGTGGTAATGGAGACTAGAATTAAACACCAAAGTGACAAACTTAACTTCAAACATATCAATAATTAGAGTAAATATAAATGGACTAACAAATACAATTAAAAGACACAGATTCCCAGGCTAGATAAAAAAAAAAGGCAAGCCCTATTGGTGAGTGATTCACAAGAAACAATTTTGTAAATATGATGATGGTTACAAGTAAAAGAATGGGAAAATATTCCACGTAAATACTACACAAAAGAGAGTGAGTGTGGCTATGTTAATAAAATGTAATTGAAATTTAGATGTTTGAAAGGTTTCCTCCAGTTGTGAAGATCAGAAAAAGCTCTAAAAATACAACATTTGAAGAATGGGTGTAATTTAGGCCAAAAGGAGTGAGGAGAATGGAGAAATATATTAAAGACTAAAGAAACAAAATGAATATAACCCCAGGACCAGGACTCATACAGTGAGTACAGAGAACAGGAAATAATTCTACTAGCCTGGTGTTCAGTGTAGCATCAGGAACTAGCATCAGACAGGTAAGCTGAAATCATGTTGTAAACAGCCGTAAATACCATGGTAAGATCTAGATTTTATTTTGTAAATGACAGGATACTATCATTAGACTATAATTATGCTTTAAGAACATTAATCTGGTGGTATAGAGGTAGCACGCTAAGCATATACACAAGAGTCCAAACATTCCTGGCTATGGGACTAAAGAAATCACAAGTCTAAGAAGATGCCAATATTTTATTCTGGTGACAGGGAAGCTGTCATAAATGATGTCATTTATAGAAAGGGAAACCAGGAATGGCAAATTGGAGAGGGAGAAAAATAGACTCTGTTCTGGATCTGCAGAGTTTGACATACTAGTAGAATTTAATGTGAATACATCCAGCCACAACAGGAAATATAAGCCTGTAGTTTAGGATTAATAGACCTTAGAATGATTCACAGAAAAATATGTATAAAACATGAAAATTCCAGAGGAGGAGAGTATATAGAGAACATATGAGAAAATCCCTGGCAGAATATCTATAAGAAGGGTATTGGACAAGGGGAATTGCAGGCAGAAAACAGAGAATGGGTTCAAATTTGCAGTTAAAGAAATAGTACAGAGAGAAAAGATTCCATTCAGAATTCTGGAAACATTTCTGTCTGGTTTCCAGAAAGATGTTTCCATCCACTCTTAAATGATACAAAAAGTAATAGGTGATTTAAAAAGAGGACCTTAGATTTAATTAACAGCAGATTACACATCAGTGACTTTTGAGAGTTTAGGTCCAATAGAGTGGTGATAATGGTAAAAACTAAAGTGTTAGGAGTTAAAAATCAGGTCAAGGGAAAAGGAATGCTTTCAAAAATGAAACTTGAGACATAAGAGTTGAATAAAGATTTGTTGTATTTTTCATAGCATAGAATATCTTTGGCACAGGGTGAGAGAATGTGGGCCCCAGCTCAACCAAGACAGTCTGTAGAGAAAGGTCTCGGAGGAGGCAGTACGAGGCTATCAACAGTGAAACTGGAGCAGAACCTCTGGGGAAAGGGAAGACAGAGAAAAAGAAGGACTTAGAAAAAGGTGGTTGTGGAGGAGTGAGAAACTGATGGAGTTCACACAGACGAACTCAGGCTTCTGAGTATGAGACAAAAAGATCTTCCAAGAATGAAAAGATTTAGATTCTTGGAACCAATAGTGAAAAATGATGGCACTAAGCATTGTGGGAATGTGATAGTGATTCAATTAAGGAAAAATGACAATTAATGGCAAGGACCTGTCTAGGTAGGGCTGCAAGAAATTTAAGTGGTGTTAAGTAACTTTTTCTCAATATGTTCTTTAACAGCACCAGGAGGCAGGAAAACAAACAAATTAAGTTGATGGTATGGTCTCCTTTGGGGGAATAAAAGATGGTAAAATGTGTGTGTTTTAGAATTGGTCTGCTCTTAACTATGACTGTTGGGAATTGTTCCTAAAATAAGAAAAGCACAGAACAAGATCAAAATCAGAAGGAAACACACTTATTATTTCTGCCTACCAGAATGAAAAAAGTGTATAAGGCCACAATTATTACAGACAGACCAAATAAAAATGGAAATTATAGTCCCTCCTTGAATGATCCAAGATTTTTCAGAGCATATTATTTGAAGTAGAATATTTTATACTAAATTATGCCAATAGACTATGTAGATTCATGAGTAATTGTTTATACTTTTTAAAAAAGCCATGTAGTAGGCTATAACACCTGAAAAATGATTTTAAAAATATTTGGCGAATTCAAGACCTATGAGAAAATATAAAGCACAAACAATAATTTTCAAGTTACCCAAAAGCTCCCTGCTATTTTATGCATGTTTATTTACTTGAAAGGTTAATTAAAAGCAGGTTTTTCAGTTGAAGAATGAAAAGTTATTCTTTTTTAACTTTGAGAAGTGAATTTATTAAAATTCTTATGGAAAGTATGAGCCGAATTCAGTATTTAACCAAGCACATAAGCAAAATAAATGGCATGGGTCATAAAGGAAGACATTCATGTCAAATTGTTAGGAGGTTTCCTTTGGAAGGGAAAGTTAGAAGAAAATAGGCAGACACAAAGGCCAGAAGACACACATAGAACAACTCAAGAGGATGTGGGAAAGTAATAACATAAAAGGCTAAGACACTTCACATTACATTTTCCAAAGCTCCCTGTCCTCTATATTTGTGGCTGAACTTCAGTTGAACCTGCAACCTCTTCCATAGTCTTAGGTTTTGAAATCTGACTTCTAAGCTGTGCTCTAGGGAAGAATAAGCAACTTTAGGCATGCAGAAAAAAGAATAATAAGCTTAGAGGATGAGAAAGATGCATCCCCATGATCTGAACAGAGAGAGATAAGATGACCTATCTGACTCTCATTAATTGTACAATTGCTGGTGTGTAACGGCCTGGGAAAGCTAAGCAATCTCAGCTTCTGGTCACAGCCACTACTTTCACTGCCAAGGTTTTACTATTTAGGTTCTGTCTTCAGTGTTTCTAGACAGACGTGGATATGGAGAGATGGAGATGTTGCCCGGAAAGAGAAAACCCTATCCTGGGAGAACCAGCAGGAGCTCCCTCTCAGCTAAGGTGCAAGCAGTGTGCTTTCAGTGACGGGGGCACAGGCTGGGGCTGCGGAGAGCTGCCCGCAGCAGCTATGTGAGGACAGGGATGCGTCCGTGTGGAGCTTGCCCTGCCAGCCAGCTCCAGGAAGTGCAACCAAAAGAAAGTGGAGAGGAAGTCCACAGCTACAAGTTTCTGCGGAGCACAGAGTTAGGGTAACACTTCTCCTTTTGCCTTTTCAGACAGTATTGTGGCATTCGCTTTTAATATCAGAGTAGACTTTTTAAAAAAATCACTGAATTTGCATTAGCACTGTCTCCAGTATGAGAAGTTTTATGGAAGAGTGGAAAGAAATTTCTCTGCACACGCAAGTCTGGGTTTATCCCAAGTTTGTTTTTGCCCTTTCAGTTCTGGATTAATTCAGTTCAGGCTGGATATTGACAGAGGCATCTGACCATTTTAGGAAAGCTTTCAGAAGTGTGTAGTTCATTTAACTTGAATCTGCTAACTTTTCATGTTTTTAATAATGTTACTGGTCACTACTGGAATTATAGTATTTTCCATGCAGGATCTTTTTATTTTTGTTAATATCTTTTCTTTGCCGGGAACACCTCACACTCCGTAGTTTAGTCTGAGCCTAAATAATATACGGTGAGCTATGCATT